TAGAAAGACTTGTTAGTTTAATTTTTGCTTCATTTTGAAGATTTATAAGATTTTCATGTAAGGCTTTGAGTTTTGAGATTACCACCTTGCAGAAGCATCCATGCTGTGGGTGTTGGCAGCTTAATTAGCAAAAATGCAGTTTATTGCTTTGCTCACTGAGTTTTAACTGTCCTAAAAATAGTTCTGAGATCAGTCTCAATGAACTGTAAATGTAACTCGTGTAATATGCTTAAAATGGCTCTTTTAGTTCATTTAGGATATCTTGAAAATATTTAAGAGACTTTAAAATGTGACTTTTGTATTTATTTGTGTATAGCTGAAAGAAAAAAATCTTCAGCACTGACCCGGTAGGCAAAAAAAAGTAGGAAGGCCTAAACCAAGATGGCGATACTGCATTAGCAGTGACGCCAATGTTTTAGGAATAAGGAATTGGTGGGCAGTTGCCAGGGACAGAGAACATTGGTGAAAATTACTTGAGGCAGCCAGGATTCAGTAATGGATTGGATGGAATGGAATGGATTGTCGCGCTAAGAATGATGATGATGATGATGATAGCTGAAAGTTTGCAAATAAATTGTTCTTAAATTATTGAATTAACATTTGTATACGTGAAATTACTTTGTTTCATTACTTTGTTTTCATTACAGCATTTCATTACAAGTGTTACATTTCATTACAAGTGTTAAATTACTGTCACAGGATCTGACCGAGAAGTTGAAAATCGAATCTGCCTAAGGGATTTATTTGTCTGGAAAAAAAAGGCATCCTTGCACACAAAAATGAATAAAAGTGTCCCCCCCCTTTCTCTTTATCACCCACCTGCCACTACAGTTTGCTATCATCCCCATCCACCTCAAACCGCGCCCCCCCCTGAAGTTTGTGATCGTCCACCATCACTTTGTGCACATGCCCCTCAAAAGGTCACTGCACAGCACTGTAATAATGTAAAGTGTAGGGGGGATTTCAGATATAGCCAGAAATATAGGACAGAAATATTGCAATAGAGTCTACTGTAGCTGCAGACTTACACATGAAGTCTCAGGCATGTACTGTCAGGCTCACGCACTCAATAGAGCGAGTGACATCACTGTGAGAGATGGGGGTGGGATGGGTGTAGATGTTAAAAGCCAACAGTGTCTGAGGTTGCACATGCAGCAGGTCTGCAACAAGGACCTTCTTCATATTGTGAGATGATGGTTTTTGGACACATGCACCTTTTCTCTAAAATACTCTCAAAATTCTTAGCAAGTTTACAAGCATCACTGAACCTGTTTGACTCCAGTCAGACGATGAGTTCATAATATTACTGTAGATAAAACAATGTAAAGAATACGTTATTAAACATCATTCCAAAATATTACAAATTAGATGATAACTTATTTCTCGTTTAGCACAATTAAATGGCTTTTTGTCCCCTGCACATAAAAAAATGCATTCCCTTTAACCCAGAAATATTGTGAGATGATGGTGTTTGCACCTGGTCTGCCAAAACAGGCTCATAACTCTTGGCCGGTTTACAAGCGTTCAGAGCATCACTGAACCTGTTTGACTCCAGTGAGACGGCTGAGCATTTCAAAATGAAGCTTTGCTTTGTCCTTCTGGAAACGTGATGGAACTCATTGATGTGGGTGATTTTGGGCTCTACTTTGTCTCAGTGTGTTGTCCTTGAATTCTAGCCTTTTTCAATTTCAGCTTTAGCAGGGATTGCAGCTCTGAATGAATCAGACTGTCACAGAGTTCTAACACTTTTAATGTAGTTGAATATATATTTCTTGCTAATTTTTAGACAAGAGCAGGTAGGAGTATTTGAACGTGTTGGTGACTGCAATCTAACGTAATATTTCAAAGCTCATTTGTCATAATTAATTGAACATTCAGAGTCGACACCATATAGACTAGAATGTCATTACAAGACTATAAAACATTATATTATAAGCACTGGTTGCTGTGGCAATGAAGGGGGAATGAAACAGAAGCATGTTGATAACAGAGTTCAACACCATTAGATATGAACATGAAGTCAAACTCCAACTGCGCTCATAATAACCATTAAAACAGTTGGAACAATTTGTTCTTTACAAGCTCTTAATGAACCAGTCCATGCATGTCTCCATTTAGCACACTTATTCATTAAGATCAAGAGAGATCAAACGCACACTTGTCATTAACATAATTATATTCACACTTGCCAGAGAGAAGGATTAAAACATTGCAAATAGACTACAAATATACATGATATATTTGATTAACATTATTTCTTCTTGTATGCATTCTTCTTGTTTTTGTTAAAAGATTTAATTCAGTTTTCCCTTTATATACTGCTTTTGGCATTCACAAAATGTCAAAGATCCTGCAAGAAATGACAGGTAGAAATAAGACCGCGCTCTAGTTCTCCATTTGACGACCATGCTTCAGTGTGCTGAAGTATATGAATACAGGTTCAACTACTAAAGCATTGTCCTGTTGAGAAGAGTGACTATACGCTGTGACATCTTTCTTGGATGATTTCAAAAGGAAGGAAAATACGAGTCATGCTGAGTGCCACTGACCAGCCAGCAGCGACTGGCACACTGAGATGCAGTTATATTGTGACAGTTGACTGACCCAACACTGAAAAATCACTGGACGGTGAGCTCAACACACAGATAGAAGCAATAAAGCCAATCTGTGCTTGATTAGCAAAAGCTGAACAAATGATATCGCATTCTGTTCTTTTGTTTAAAAGGATAAAATGAAATCAATTGGTTTTGTGAGATTGTTATCTACATTTAACAGGGAGACTTGAGCAATCAAAGTATCTAAGGCCATCAAATACACCGTGATAAGACTGTTGTTTCATGCTCAATTGAATCTTGGCACAAGAATAAAAGCTCAAGATTGCGTCTGTAGAAACAGCATGGAAGAATTACTCTGATTTTGAGGAATTCAGACATCTGAACTGTTTGAATAGCCACCAGAACTGTTTCTACAGCAGTGGTTCTCAAACTGTAGTACGTGTACCACTAGTGGTATGCAGGCTTCCTTCTAGTGGTACGTGGAGGAATGAAATATGTCATGTACTTGCTACACACATTTCAAAATGTATCAAAAATAGTGTATATAATATGCCATATATGACATTTAGCCTATATTTCTGAGGTAATCTGCCACTTTTTTAACTGTGCAGAGTTGTAGCTGCTTTACTGGGCCTACTACTGTATTCAATACTGCTCATTTTGGTGGTACTTAGAGAGACGATTCTTTTCTGAGGTGGTACTTGGTGAAAAAAGTTCAAGAACCACTACTCTACAGCATAAAGTATGCACTTATATAGCAAGACCATGTACACAATACACTATTAAAAAAGATTTAATGACTTTGCTTTAAAAGTTAGTATATAAGTTGCTTTTAAAGTGATTAGTTGAATTTACTTAAAAAGAAAAGTAAATATATGGTCTCTACAATACCTGACAAGAGTCTTGTCATCGATCCCAGTTGTAAGAGCAACAAATAATAACTTGACTTCTGGTTGATCATTTGGAAAAGTGACAGAAGGTAAATTTTTCAGATAAATCATCTGTTGAACTGTATCCCAATCATCACAAAAACTGCAGAAGACTTATTGAAACCCGCATGGAGCCAAGATTCTCACAGAAATCAGTCAAGTTTGGTATAAGAAAAATTATGATTTGTGGAAACATTAAGTATGGGGGTATGCGAGAGATCTGCAGAGTGAATGGCAACAGCAACAGCCTGAGGTTTCAAGACATTTGTGCTGCCCATTACATTACAAACCACAAGAAATTATACAGCAGGATAGCACTACTTCTTATATGCCTCCACATCAAAGTTCCTGAAAGCAAAGAAGGTCAAGGTGCTCCAGGATTGGCCAGCTCAGTCGCCAGACAATAAACATTATTGAGCATGTCTAGGGTAAGATAAAGGAGGAGGCATTGAAAACGAATCTAAAGAATCTCATACACAATATATTTTTTTTCCAATGCACCACGATTTTATATTCTATACTGTACATTTCTTTTGTTAAATGTCAAAACTTTTTGTCTAAACAAAGTCAGAACTTACTGTCCTAAATAAATATTTAAAAATCAAGGCATGATCATATTTTATTTTGGTAAAGAAGCATAATCTATAGTAGCCTTTGCCTTTCAAATAAGCCACTTCTGATACCAAATGATCTAATAAAAGTCAAGATACTATTTGCTGGTCTTAAAACTTGGAAAGGTGACAACTTTTGTCGGGTAGTGTACAATATAAAGTGTGCACTTATGTATAGCAAGACCATATACTTCATACAATTTTATATTTTATATTAAAAAGTGAGTAAGCCTGTTGCTTTAAAAGTGATTAGTTGGCTTTGGTTAAAAATGTGACTAAACGTGTTGCTTTTAAAGTGAATAGTTGACCTAAAATATTAGTAGGCGCATTGCTTTTAAATGGATTAGTTTAATTTACTTTTTTTAAATGAGTAAACCCATTGGTTTTAAAGCAACTAGTTGACTTAAAAACAATTGGAAGCCTATTGCTTTTAAATTGATTTGTTGAATTTATTTTTAAAAAGTGCATAAAAAAAGTTGCTTTAAAAAATGTTGACTTTACTTTAAAAAAAATTAGTAAACCTGTTGCTTTTAAACCAATTAGTTTACTTAAATCATATAAATCTGGTGCTTTTAAAGTGATCAGTTGACTTTAAAAAGGCGAGTAAACCAATTGCCTTAAAATTAGTAAGCAAATAAACTGTCCATAATCATAAAATTAATTTAAGTTAACTTACTGTAACAGTTCCAACTCACTTTCTTAAGTAAAGTCAACTTGACTTTTTAAGACTACGAGTTTAATTCATTTTAAGAAACAAATCACTTTTTTACGCTGTAGGACTTTGATGAATGTATATTATGACACAAATCAATTGTGTTACACATAACGTCTTTTTTCCAATCAAAGTTATGACTGATCTATTACATCTAATCAAAAGAGTTTCAGACTTCTGAGAACCAACTCACCATGTTCCACTTTGGAAAGAGGAAATCAGTCCCAATGTACTCAAAGTAATGAGCGAATCCCTCTTTCAGCCAAACGTCCTCCCACCAAACCGGTGTGACCAGATCCCCGAACCACTAGAAAAGGAGAAATGAACAATCAATCATCCACACAGAAACAGAGCGACCATTACAAAGATCGATTTCATGCTCACCGGCAAAGAATTACGACAAACTTCTGTTGTTTTCTACAAAGAAAAGTGTTTATGGGTGAGCTGAAAACCAAAATTTCTTCATCAGGAAAATATACACTCTTCAATTCCTCCAATACCTCGGAAAAGCATATTACATCCACTGCCAAACACATTTATATTAGAAAAGTCCAATACAGCAGAAAAATAACTTTTCCTTTCAGAAGTAAATACAAGTGAGCACTTCTAATAACCCACTGCTCTCGGGTTCAACAGAAAAGTTATTCACAAACAGCTTTACAGAACATTCAGAGCTTTTGAACTCTGACTAATAGTGGCCTAAACAATCAATTACCTACGCTCGCACAATTAAAGCACATTTTTCAGTTTCACAGCATTCATACCTGGGCACTTCGCCAAGGACACCGTAAAATAAACAGGACAGAGAAAAAATAAGGATTTGATTATGAAACTCTCCATCTGGAAGGCAGAGTATCCAAATGACCCCTGGCATTGTGTGCGGATGACAGTGCGCAAAACAGAGCTATTGACTGGAAAAGATGCACTTCTGAATGGCCTGGATGTTTTCCAGAGACTCGGGTGCCATCAAGCAGATGTGCTACTGAATGCTGCATCTGAAAACCTCTGTAGGAGTCGAACCTCTTTCATCTGAACATGACATGATTACAGAAGCTCAAAGGCTCTTTAAAGCTACTGATGGGACGTTTATTTCTGACTCTGGGCTGCTGTCTTTCTCTCAGAGGAACCTTCCAGTGGCTTCATAAAGGTTTAGTCACTTTTTGTGCCCTCTTCTGATTCTGTACACTGCTTTTACTATGGCAAAATGAAAGAGAGAGGACTGCTTCCATGAAATGGAGGAAAACTTTGTGGAATTATGGCAAAAGTACGCTGATATGATGTCACTATGAGACTACCACAGGCCTGTAGCCAGCTGGAAGCTGTTCAGAGGACCCACCCCTCACTAACAAAGGTCCAGAATTTGCCTCATACATGAGCTCATTTGTCCTATTATGACTGCAATGCCATCATAAATAGTGAAAATAACCCATCAAAAAGGCTTTAAGACCAACTGGAATTCTCTGTTGGCTGTCACTTCGGTGTGACTTCAACTAATCAGTTTTGGCCAATGCAAACACTTATTTTAATTTTACAATCTGACGTAAGAGAAGTCTGCATGGTTTTTAAACAGAGAAAGCATTTTACAGGTAACTTTCATTCTAAATCTTGGACCTTATGCTTAAAAGAAAAAATGAGCAATACAATGGTGTAAAGCATGTCATGGTAATTTCAAATAAAGAGACTCTTACTGATCAAGAGACAAAGTCTAACAAGGTTTACTTCCAAAAAGATTTTATTCCTTGCAAAGACCAGGTCCGACAGTCATACAGCAACACCGATTGCTGCAGAGTGTGACCCACAGGCTAGTCAGAAACCAGGTTTTATCTTCTTTGCGCTGCTTAAAGGCCCACTTCGTCACAGATGACACTCAGTTATCTTTAGAGCATTAGATTTATTTATTGATTGTTTTTTAAAGCAAATACCCACTTTCTGAATGTTCCTGCTAATATTTGTTTTTGTATAATCTTTAGGAAGGCATATGTTTCTTAGTATATAATGTTTCTAGTAGGAAATAAAAGTTTTCAAGAAATCATTGTTTAGTAAAAATTAAGATAAATTTTTCCTCCACAATTTCCCCCTTTTTACCATTTATTGATAACTAATCATTAAAAAATCATTACACATTACTGACTATTGGTTAATTTAATAGTTGCTTGCTAGTTAAGAGATGTTCAAGATTTCCGTGAGGCCAGGCTAAACGAACAGACACTGCTGTTTTGCTCCTGACCGAAGCCAGACCAAAAGCGGACCATATTAAAATTGATTTGAATAATTTTTTGGCTACTGTTGATATCCATGAATTTTCAAATGTAAGTTTTTACTAGAGAGGCTAGAATAATTGTGAAGCTCTACATTATTATTATTATTATTATTATCATCATCATCATCATTATTATTATTGTTATTATAATTACTACTACTATTATTATGTTTTAATTATTTTTTCATAATTAAAGTTAAATTCTGACTGAGGAAAGTTGAATGTGCTGGCCAGTTTGTTATTTGCCTAATAAATGACAATAAACTACAATTTTAAATTTAAAACGTTAACAGATTCCTATTTTTTTCTAGTGATATATGATGTTATAAATATGTATTTTAAAAATAAGTATTTGTTTACCTTTTTAAAATAATTTTTGGAAATATTTTTGGTATATCAAAAAGTGTGGTTATGATAATCATCTGATAAGCTAATTCAGTAATAGAAAAAAAAAGTCCTTAAAATGTCACAAAAATGGGTGAATAACTGCAAGAGGTCCACTTTTTGAAAGAAAAAAATAATAATAATCAGGCTCGCTACGGGCCTGTACCATGACCGAATATATACCATTTCAATGTGGTGATGTCATTGGCCCATAAAAATGTCCTGCCTGTTGTCAAACAATTTCATAACTGTAACAAGGGGCACTTCAATGATAACTTTACACACCTGCCATAGGATTATTTATCAATATGTGGACCTTTTTGGATTCTTGAACGGTATGGCAATTAAAAATATAAAACAGGAAATACGTTAGGATCATTGTTATTGTTTACATCTCGCAGGTCATTTTTGAATGAATCTTTGAATGTAATCAGCTGTCTACTGCTTTATTTACAGCCATTGCTTGTTTACCAAAAATTAATTCTTGCTGGCACACTGTGTACCTACTGTTGTCATTCAGTAAAAAATGACAAACAACTTATATTGGGGAAACTGCTGTCTGCAGGGAAGCACTTAAGACAATTACAGAGACATTTGCTATTTATCTTTCTTCATGATGACAGAATTTGCATTGTAGTGTCAATGTCAAGCGATAACTGATTGTGAAGCAACGTGTAGTCTTGCATATTTGGTACCAACAATGACACATAATTATTTTATCTAAAAAAAATAGCATAATATGACAGTAAAAGTTGTGCAGTCTGAACAGGACTTTGACTAATAAACAAAATGACGGATGGCTGGAAACCCAAACAAGTATACACAATGAATCTTCATCTTTGTGTAAATTATCTCTTTAAAGTTTGGAAGAAACTTCAGAATATATAACTTTTACTGAACACATCTTTATGTTTGACACCTTTCTACTGCACCATACATTCAGAGGTGGCTGTGAATGTATGCATTACACATATTTTATTCTATTTTGGGAAAATGATTCATAGAATCTTATCAGATGTTTTTGTAAAACCCAAAAATACTCTCTGAAATCTTTTCTCAAGGCACATATCTAGTTTCAAACGGTGTGATATTTGCAGAGACTTTTCCTTTGAGCCAGGTATTTTATCCCCACTGACTTGCAGAGTGTGTATATCATAGACTGTAAAAGTAGACGTGTGTACAGTAAAGAACTGCATAATTAACAAATGGAGAAGTGTTGGCATTTGTGCTTTTTTCTGTTTCTTATAAATATATTAAAGGCTGATGGAACTGTATTTAACACAAAATGTGCAACAATAATACACATGTGGCATGTATGATGTTGTATTTGGGGGAAAATTAGGGATAATTATGTTTTTATTTTACTAATTAAAATAAAAATACTAGTCAATAAACAATAAAATGGGAAAACATTTCTCAATTACTTCAAGAACGTCAGAGAGACGAAAGCTGAAAAGATGGATTCTACAGTTCTTCTGCTTCATTAACAATTCCACTGCAAGAGTTCAGTCTATTCCTCTACTTTATATTGCATCTAACACCGGACATATGAGGCAGGAGAAAACCTTCAAAACCATCATTAAAACAACCTTAAGACATGAATCTCTCCGAAGCAGACGCGAATCTCTGGAGATAAAACTGACATGAAGCCTTCAACCAAACTGTCAGTCTTTACTTATAGAAAAGCTCTGAATAACTGAGTGCAAATGTCCTTCATTGACATTTAATGAGAAGGTTCAAACAAGGTCTGTCTACTCACTGTTTGTGACTCACTGCTTTCTGAAATAATATTTATAAAAAGAAAACCACAAGAAAGACGTCTTGAGTACAAGGTCAAATGTTCAAACCTGCATCATTCACAAGTACAAGCAAGACTCCCCGAACAAAATACCTTACAAAAAATATTCTTTAAATTAAAAGTTATTTTGCAGGTATACAATATTGCATATAGTGTATGTTGTAGACGCAAGCATTACTTAAATATTTGGATGCAACTTTTAAATGATTTGTTTCAATCCATCAATAAAAACTACCTTATACAGTTTGAATAATTAAAAGGTTAAAATTTAACACTCAAACACACTTTAAAACGCTTTTAAAAAGTATGTATTTATTTATTCATTGAAATTCTGTGCACTTAGATTTGACACCACTGAATCAGTTACTCATTCAAATGTGGATCCATCATGTTAAAGAAATTAAAATCTGTTAAAAAAAAACAGATTATTCATTGTTTAAAGTCACAATAAATAATTTTTGCCACTAGAGGGCCCGTATTCGCTCACTGCATGCAAAACAATAATCACCAACCAATGAGAGTGATTGTGATCATAAGACAGCCGATTGGCTGAAAATATTGTTGTTGAACTTGACTGCTTTAACTTGGGCATTTAACTACCGTCATGTGTGTGTGTGCGCACCTACCGACAATCCACTCAACCTTCGCTTGCACTCATTTACATTCTCTCTTTCTCTCTCTCACTCTGACACACATACATAGGTAGTGACAACACACAAGTTAATACCGGATCCATTAAAATAAATACTGGAATGCAAAACACAAATATCTGACATTTTGTGGAACAGGATCCGGCAGGATCCGGCTCAAATTAAGCACTGCTTTTAGTGTGACATACTGTTTCTTTAAACAAAAGATTTTCATT